GGCAAGGCAAAAAATACGACATGATTGTGTACCAAACTATACTGTTTCATTTAAGATTTCAAGAAGTTTGTAAGTGGTAGATCGCCCAGGGTTTCGTTAGTAAACAGTAGTAGAGTTTTAACCGCCTCTGTGGTTAGACCACCTGCTTCAGACGCAGAGGTCCCGGGTTCGATTCCCAGTGGGGGCAGATTTTTCTGTTCGGTTTGGTTGGTGGTAGGGCTTGTTCTAAGTCCGCCTGGCTAGCTACCACCATCTTACCTAAGTCAGTCGCCATAACAACAATGTTAACAGCATTGTTGTGTTCCGGCAGTTAGAGGTAAGATAGCCAGTTCCTCCGTGGTTGAGGATTCCGGGTGAAGCTCGCTTCCACCTTCGGCCTGATCGTCACTTACCATCAGGTGAGATACAGGCCAAGAGCTTCCTCGTTGTGGATAAAAAAAAAAGAAGCTCGCTTCCACCTTCGGCCTGATCGTCACTTACCATCAGGTGAGATACAGGCCAAGAGCTTCCTCGTTGTGGATAAAAAAAAATAAAAGTAGATCTTATGTCTAATCAAGTTGGCCACCCTTGCCTTACAGCAAATAGGGAAATAACATTCAAACTACATACACGCGTACGAAGTCGCGGGCGTCTTGTAAAATTGAAAGATATATGCTGACAATACTGATTGAGCTTCTTGCGCTGCTTCTTCTCAGTACTGGATCACATTATTGTCCCAAAATAAATCAGTGGTAGGGTTTATGTCAAAACTAGCTTTCCGCCCGCGGCTTCGCCCGCGTTGAATTTTTTGTCACAAAAAAACTTTATCGCACGCGTCCCTGTTTCAAAAACCGGGGTAAAAACTATCCTATGTCCTTTCTCGGGACTCAAACTATCTCTATACCAAATTTCATCAAAATCGGTTCAGTGGTTTAAGCGTGAAAGTGAAACAGACAGACAGAGTTACTTTCGCATTTATAATATTAGTATAGATTATGTTTGGAATTGGGACGTGTTCATGTGCCTCATATTTATGACTAGCGGCCGCCCGCGACTTCGTACGCGTGGATCCCGTTTTACCCCCATAGGGGTGGAGTTTCGTAAAATCCTTTCTTAGCCGATGCCTACGTCATAACATCTACCTGCATGCCAAATTTCAGCCCGATCCGTCCAGTGGTTGGTTGGGCTGTGCGTTGATAGATCACTGTCAGTCAGTCACCTTTGCGTTTCTACTAGTCGCTTACGACATCCAAGGAAAGAGAAGTTTAGTCATTTTCTACTTTACCGGAACCACATAATCATCAAATAAAATCAAAGTACAGTCAACCGAGTAACAGTTAAAAGTAACCACATAAAATAACTGTAGTTTGCGCCACATCAAAAGTTCAACTGCAGCGGGCAATAAAAATTCGTGAAGTGTTTTCAGCCAGTTTATTGGCATTAAAGATTGGAATGATTTACGTTTTTATGTGTTAACAGCCTGTTAAACTATTATTGCATTTTTCTGGAACGTTTTAGCAATACTATAGCAACTATAGTGACTACCTACCATAGATATAGAGAGATGCCAACTAATGCGCTGAGTTCGAAACTCAGTGTCGCATTAAAAATTGACACACACAAAGTAATCAAAATATGTGCTCATTATCCACTGCGGTATCAGTGTGCTTACCATGAGTTTACGTTCGGAGTGCTCGCTAGCGAGTACGTCAAAAAAATCTATGAAGATTTTGTTTCTTGAAAGTAGCCGCTAGGGGGCGCTGCACAATATGTCATACATTTAATGTCAATTTTTTACGTAGTCGCTAGCGAGCACACCTAACGCAAACTCATGGTAAGCACACAGTACTCAACGTTCGAATAATCTTTAGTACTACGCAAGCAATGCAAACTGTTTACATTATGACTGCAGCAATGTGTTCCGTTTTGGGGCATATTGCTGCGACACCGGCCACGCCCCCTTGTCACATCTCCGTTTAGTTTCTGTGATCGGTGCTACCTACCTACTCTACGATCATTATAAGACATGTGACTATTCAGAGGAGGTGTGATTTGTTTCTAGGTGATCAAAGGACACTAAATTGTCTTGATCACCTGGGTGATCAAAGCCAGGTGATCAAAGTGGAATAGACCAGCAAATCAAGCTAAATATTGCAAAATTTGCAGCAATAGTCTATGCATTTCAATAATTTTAATTTCCTCTAAAACTTTGAATTTTTTTACATAATTTTACACGTGTCAAAGCTGCGAGCGCTTTTCCAAGCAAATCCAAATTTAATTGTTATCCTTTATCATGTTTGTTTGTCTCTAATTATTAAACAACGGGATCCTAACGCCTACATACCAACGCAATTAGAAGTCAAAACAAAAGTATACCAAGAATTAAAACTCACTTCCGCCTACGCTTCGCGCGAATGGAATTCGTACGTTAGGTGTCATATTCGTTCTTCGGGTCTTGTTTCTTAACTAATTGTGATCTAGTGGTAAGACCACCTGCTTCAGTCCTATGTTCGATTCCCAGTGTGGGCAGTTTTCTGTTCGGTTTGGTTGGGGGCATGTTCGAAATCCGGCTAGCTACTTATCTAACGCTCGTATTCACAAACATTGCTATGAGGTCTCACAGTGCGCAGAATTTTATTCCTATAGCTCATATTAAGTCAGTATATTATACCTAACAGGAAATAATAAACTCTAGGCAAGTTTAAGTGAGTAGCAAGCCACAACTGAGTCATTAATAAATGTTTAAATTACCACATTTATTTGCTAACTGTTGTTAAAACAGCTTGACGCTCTATAAATTCTTAATTAGTGTTCTTAATTAATTGAAACTTATCTATTTGTCGTTTCATTGAATTGCGTTAGTTGATAAATAAGTAGGATGTTAAGCGAAAAAAATATTTTAAAATTAAAGGAGCTTTGTTAATACCTGTAAGTAGGTAGAGAGATACATAATATTATTATTTGCATTCTAATTCAAATGGATTCAAATGTCTATTAAAACAATTTGTATTCAAGTAGGTAGGTAGATATGACTAAAATATCTAAACTGTGTTTCTCATTTTATTATTTTTTAGAAATAAAATGAGCAGTATTCTTTTCGTTACTTGGGTAAATAGCATCGTTCCAGTTATTTAGTAGGGAGGTAGGTACCTACGTTTATTAATCTATGGTACAGTCAGCAACGAAAGTCCATGAACACATCCAAATTTTCAAAACACCTGCACACTATAAGTTAATTTTGCCGCTGGCGATATGACATCACTCGAAATGAAGCGTCTATAACTTTAACAAACTATGTATGTTTAAAATATTTTTTATTTATTATTATTGATACTGTTTTCTTAGTGTACCCACGAATGGCCAATATATTAATACTCGAGTGACTGCTATTGTACGCGTCTGCTTCGTGCAAAAAATATTAAAATGTAAACAATTAAAATTGTATAAACTTTAAATAATCTATAGTTTTAAGGTTAATTTTGTATTTCTCTTGTAAGTGAATGTAATTCTTTTAGAGAAATAAATGTCTTAAACCATAAACCATATTTTGCGTAAAATAAGACACAGTAATTGCGTTTAATCACTATGTATTTGCGTTTAATCGCGGTTGGGAGAGGGGACGCGCATTCCACGGACCGGCAACTTAGCGCGAACGGGTACCTAGTAGGTATGTGGTACATTTAATTTTTATTTGTAGCTAAGCTATGTTCAGTAACTTATGTACATTTCATGTGTCTAGTATCTTTCGTAAAGTTATTTTGTTCGGCAAGTTTCGTTGCTGACTGTACCTACCTACCTAGGAGCATTGGGATTGGGAGCGAAGCGATCGCGAAATCGAATCTTAAGTTTCGCTTGCTCCTTTTTTGTTAAAAAACGCGGTATTTTTTAAGTTAGCTAGCCTCTGCTTAAACCACCCACGCGTAGTAACTCTTTTTTGTAGAACCCAGTCTAGACAAGTAGACTAGACTAGTTGTATAAAACCACGTAGGTCCTACCTACGTAACCACCCTTTTACCTTTGTAAAAATGCTTCGAATGCCCTTGACATTTATATTACTCAATATTAAATAGGTATTGTGATATCATAACGTTAGTCATACATTTGAGATCGAATGTAAATTAACTATAAATAGTTGTTAAATATTAGCTGAGACAAACGTAAATTCCTAACAACTTGTAGGTAAAACTTGTGTTTTGTTTAACTGACGCGCGAAGATCCGTAGCTATTGAATGTAACAAAAGAAATGTTTTCAATACATTATTTTAAACTTGCTTACAAAGGAAACTTATAAAAAAATATAGGTAAGTACCTAAGTACTAAAAAGTATAGTTACCTAGCTAGGCAGTTACCGTTACCAACTCAAAAGGTCAGAATTTAAAACCGGACCTCCTTATGTTTTCAACCAAAGGCTCATTTAGTAGGTTCGAATTAGAATCATAACTAACGCCCGTATTCACAAACATAACTATGAGGTCTCACAGTGCGCGTGGACGCACAGGTTGACACACGAACCAATCACAGAGCTCTATTCAACGCTGTGCGTTCGATTTGCTGCTTCACATAAGCAAGCATCGTTAGTGAATACGGACGTAAGCCTACCTACTGCTACTTTAAAAGAACGAGGTAGGTAGGTATTTCTCCGTTTTATTGTAAACTTTACAGTTTACTTTATCTTTTCTATCAAGCAAGAAATGTACTGACAAGATACATCAACTAATTTGGTCCCTACCTGCTTACATTAGTTCAGGAGGTAGGTAACTTGTTACTAAGTTACTTGTACGAGTAAATAAGATACAGTAAATTTAGATAACAACAAGCTTCTTCTATCCAATTAGTTATTCCTTGTTCACTGCCTACGCAAAAGTAAAAACCAAAATCCTATTGTGAACAAAGCGTCCCAACCTGCGGCAACGAATTGTTTCTTCAAACTAAAAAAAAGCAGGTAAGTGTTAACGGCCAGCCACCTGCCAAAAAAGGTTAGATTTTAAGATAAAAGAGTTTCGATACGACACGTATCATACCTCGATTCCAACTCCAAGATAGCGGGACCGCTGATCAAAGTGACTCACTCACTCACTTTACTTCCAAAGTTAAATTGTAACACCAAAAGTATATTTTGTACTGTAAAGAGACCGTTTTACGGTTGAACGCGGCACTATAATCGCCCACGCCACACCTCGGGCACTTTCCAACCGGTTTTCAAAGGATCAACGTAAAAGTAGGCTCGGAGCCGACGGGAACGCAGCGTACCCTCCCTTCAAACGATACCGGAGAACTGGCTCGCGGAAAAAAGTTAAGTACGGTGTTGCCAGAGTTGGGAGTACGAATTTGTACACTGTAACTTTGAATAAATGTACATTTGAGTCATTTTGAGTGATAATGTCAAAATAAGTGTAAAAAAAATTGAATAAATTCACAGTATGTAATGTATTAAAGTAGTGCATTTTAATAAAAAAAAGAAAACATTACGGTGCACAACATAATTGTTAATAATGAGGTTATTGATGTTTACTCGGATCAATTAATGTAAATAAACAAAAAAACAATGGTGGCGTGGTGATAATAGAAGCTCTTTTGTTTTTTTTTTATGTATAAGGGAATTAATAAATTTAATAATGTTGGAAATAAAATAAAAACATTTCAGATGAAAAAAAAATATCAAAAGTGAACTGAAGATTTTTACTATTTTAAAGTAAAAAAAAAACCAGAAGAATTTATGTGGAAAAATAAAAAAAATTGCATTTTTTAAAAGTACACATGCGGGGAATTCCCGGGAAGCGCAGTACGTATGGGTAACGCGGAAATGGGAAACGTTTACCTATACGCATACATACGAGCAAAATTCAGCACTCGCTCGGTTGCCCTCTCTTTTTCAAAGTATAATTTTAACTTTGTGCATTTTTGTGATCTTATGTAAGAACTGTCGAGACTCCCTCTCCTCTCACCCTCTTGTAAGGAAAAATAAGACATGGTAGACCCCCCCCCCCCCCTAAATTGTCTCACGTAAAAAATGAATGGTCTCTATTTAACTTGATTAATATTTTTTTAAAGTTAGGTAAATTTTATTGTTAACATTTTAAAGTTATCGTTCTTTTGTTTGGTGCTATATAATCAAACCTCACTTTATTTGTATGTATCGTAATCGTTTATAGTTTAATGCCTTGTTTTAATCTCAAAAAGAAATAATGTGAACGAAAAAAACACGACGCTACCAAAAAATGTGCACAAAAGGTACATAATTTCCCACTTGGCAACACCGGAATAACAACTTTCATCGTGCGTTCGGAAACGCTCGGCCGTCGCCGGCAAGCGTCGGAGCCCGCGCTATGGTTCACAGATTCATAAAAACGGTCCGTTAAAAGAAAACAAAAGTAGCTTTTGATGCAAGCAACGCAAACCAACGTTTGTTCTTGTATTTTATATAACTATTAATTGCATTGATAGTTTAATTCACGAGTTTGCTTAACTCGGTACACAATGTGGCGCAACCAAGCAACTGACGTCAAAGCGTCTGACTACCTTCACAAAGAAACTTTTTATTTTATTTTGCTTTAGCATGACTATTTGCGTTGCAAAAGAATAAAAGTAGTCCCAAGTTATAATAAAAAAAAGAAATGCACACGTTCCAAAATGTTGACAAGGTTCTAAAATTTTGACAAGGTTTTTCACATCTAAGGTAGGAAAATAGGTAGGTAAGTAGGTTTTTTAAATTTTTATCCAGCTATGTCCTGTTATGTCCATATTTAATAGAAGCGTAATTATTAGTGTTTTTTTTATTTTATTTGTGTGTGGAGCAAAAATTCTCACCTACAAAAGCCTCCGACAGGCTTGCACATTGAATTCTTTTATTTTGCACAACTATTGCAAGAGTTCAATGACCGTCTGAATCACGTGGACTCACTGATCATTATCATTTAGCGGATCTAGGCGTTGACGAAACTGCGAAATTATGGTCCAAAATAGGTTTTTGAGAAGGAAATTATTAATAGCCTATCATTAAGATATTATTATAAAAATAAGTTGTTAGCAATATCATTACGCAAGATCAATAGGTTTCGAAACTATAGGTGCATAGTGAACATTCAGTGCCGATTGACTTAATAAAAAACTTGTGGCACATGTAGGGAATTTATTTAAATCTTGTTCAGTACTTAAGAAATAAAAGATGTAGTACTATCCACCAAATAGGCATTAACCTATCACAGTGATAAGATTACCACGTTAAAAAAAGTTTATCAAGAACCGTCTAGTAGTTTTTGCGTAATGGAATAACGAATACCATCTATCCGTCTTTCTATCCACTTGCTTTTTAATTATTATTTAGATTAATGTAATTAATGTAGAGCTAATTGGTTGTTAAGTACATCAAGTTTTCTATTTATATCAGAAAAATTGCATTATTGAGTCTTGTTGTATAAGCTTTTTACGCACATGCAACGGGAGTCTTGGCATCTTACCTGATGGAAAATAATAGTGAAATGGAACTACCTGTAATCTTCAGAGGAACTGGATGATTCTGAATTAGCCCAAAGGCCTTTTCCTACAGCAATCCAGTTCTGCAGGATCCTGCAAAACTAGAATGCTGTGTGAAGTGTGCGTTTGTAATTCCAATTCCAAATTCGAATGCATCAGTTTTTTGCGGGACACTGCAAACGGGATGTGCGTGTGAATGTTAGTAATAAAACACGTCCTACTAAACGGGATCCTGCAACGAACGGATGTCTCCTTGGGAAACGGCCCTAAAGTAATACTTACCATTGATTTGCCTTCAAACAACAGCGTCCTGTTTCATTTAAAAACTAGAGTACAATACATGGTTATGATTTTCTAAAACCAATAATACGGTCAGTTCGCAGTCTGAATACCCGGTGCGTTAATATCGAAAGCGCTTTCTTGCTAATTGCAAGACAATGGGTTCGAATCCCATGCCGATCACTTTCACTAGTGACTAATTGTGTACGCACCAGTCTGGGTTAGGTACCTTGAAATCTTATATCTATAAAAGCGAAAGGTCACAGATTAACTGACTCACTCATCACGAAATCTCAGAAACTACAAGTGCTAAGAGTCTCAAATTTTGCATGGGGGTTCCTTTTAGAACGTAGATGCTCACTAGGACGGGATTTCATTTCCTAAAGGGGGTAATACAGAATTCACGCGTACGAAGTTGCGGGCAGCCGCTAGTAGATCTATAAGAAGTACCTACATGATTTAAGTAATTGTGTAGTGGTAAAATTTCAGTGTTTCTTTACGAGATAGAAATGAGGAGGTCCGTAAACGAGCTAAAATCGCAGACATAGCCCGACGGAATAGCAAGTTGAAGTGGCAATAGGCAGGGCGCATACGCGCATAGTACGCAGAACTGACGGCCGATGGACAGTTTTTGAAACAGTGATGCACGCGATATTTTTTTTCTGTGACAGACAAAATTTCACGCAGTTTCCCATAAATCAGAAAATATGACACGCATATTCCTAGTTAATTTCCACAAAATCAACACCTACGTCATCTAACTTGCCACCTTCATGTCAACAATATACTTTCACAGGCTGTGCGCAAAAGTTTTTCGATTTGAAAAGTTTGTATTGTTGAGGCGGTAGGCCGGCATACAAATGACTGTGGAGTTATGTATTGTTTACATGGAAACATGAGGTTATAAGCCTTAAAGAATATAATAAGGCCCCTTTTAATATGTGCTCATTTGTTTTTGTATTTGAGTTAAGGGTTTTCCAACCACAAACAATAATAAAATTTGTGACAATAGACTTACCTCTTGCGTAATGAATATTATTAAGTAAAATTATTATATTTACCTGTTTCATTTACTTTTAGTGTTTTTCTTCGAGTAAACTGTCTTTAAAACCTCAAACAAAAATAATAATTACCTGCGAATGCTGGACAATGATTTCAACAAAAATAAAAAAAAGAATTTTATGGGTTTTACCATTTTACGTTTCCGCCCTCGAATTAGTTCGGAGAAATGGCATTATGATGTAACCGTCCCTATACCCGTTAAATAGGGTTTATTTTCGTGGTTTAAACTTCAAATCATAATTTAGTTTTTTTTTACTTTTTGACAACTTTCTTTTGGGGTGGCTGTTATAATAAAAGTTACCAATTGTGTACAAATTAAATGTCCAATATTAAAATTACAGAAAAAGAATTAAATGTAAGTACTTAGGCCCAAGAATATTATAGTGGATAAATTAAAATTTATTATTAGTTACTGTTTAAAGAAATTAATATGTCGTTGTTATCATATTTGTGACCATTTTATATGATTCTAGGTTATTTTATATCAAACGCACTGAACAATCAAATGGTTCTGAAACACTTCTAGTTTAAAAAATACACCTAAGTACTTACTTATCGAAGTCTTTGGTAATTTTTAATAAAATTGCAAAATACATTGAACAGTAACACTTCTGTGTCTATCTATATCACATTAACAGAACGGGGTCACTTGCGAAACGCAAAAAATGCGCGCGAGTTGGAAATTAGTTTGCGGACACGTACTTCTTACTTAGCCCTCGACGTTTTCTTATTATTTCCCAGAACGCTAACTACACTTCGAAGAAACGTGAAGTGTGTCACAAATAAAACTGAATAATCTTTCTATTTTTTTGAGAGATCGTTGTGAAATACACGGTGTGGTCTACATACTGGATTACTCACCCTACATTAAAAAATACTTAAAAAGCTCATTTTTTACTCAAGTAACACTTTTTTATGCTAGCAATACCAGCTATATTCTTGAGGTCGTCTGTCCACCGAGGACCACGATAAAGTAGCACAGGCCACTGTACCCATAATTTTACTTTTGGCAGAAGATTTGTGGATAGGTTTTCGTTCCTTGCCTCTTCTCAGCACTGACCCACTTACTGCCCTGAAGCAGTGGTACAATTAAAATTATACTGGAACGTACCTACCTATAAAAGCTCTTTAAAAAGCCTATTTGCAGAAAATAAACGGCTTTTATGTTTTTTATTACTTTTTATTGACTTTTTATGTGTTATTGGAAATCAATTAGCTCCACTTCAATGCACTGTTATTCTTGTAAGCTCTTTTGATGATGAGTCAGATATTTACACTAGCGGCCAGGGCCGGATCTACCTATGGGCTGATTGGGCTGCAGCCCAGGGCCCCGGGGTTACAAGGGGCCCCCAGTAGGCCTAAGATGCGCGCCGTGATAACTTTTATCGACGTCAAAATGTATGGGCAAAATCGATAAAATGGCGTGATAACCGCTTATCGCGGCGCGCATCTTAGGCCTCAGCCTCGAACTT